TAGTGGTCAAGGGAAAGCCATTAACATGTAGGAAATATTGTTGTTCTTTTTTTCCTCATGACATCCTACCATTGAAAGGAAATATTGTTGACACATGAGAGTGTTCACAGGGGAGTGACCTTCTGTAAAAGTAACGTATGTGGAAAAGTCTGTGCTAAGTCCACTCACATCGACCAAGAGATAACGCAGGGAAATATGTAAACTCAAATGTGTGTGTGAAATTCTTTCACAGGAAATCAACTCTCAGCTCATTTCAGAGAACTCACACAGGAGGAAAACCTATGTGTGTAATGAATGTGGAAAAACTTAACTGAAAGTCACACCTCAAGGTACATCGAGGTAGTCACACAGGGGAAAACCCTATGAATGCAATGAAGGTGGAAAAACATTTTGCTCTAAGTCAAGCCTCCTGAAGCATGTCTGTATTTACACGGGTCAGAAGACCCGTGGATGTAATCAATGTGAGAAAACCTTCCACAAAGGACCGCACACTAGACATCACAGAACTCAAAAAGGTGTAAAACGTTATGAATCTAATGAATGCAAATAACATTTTTGGTAAAAGTCACACCTCAGAGTACATCAGGGTACTCACACAGGGGGGAAAAAAAACCTATGAATATTATGAACGTAGGAAAATATTTTGCCTGAAGTCAGTTATCACTAAACAGAGAACTCATATAAAGAAAACTCAGGCCGGGCACGGTGGCTCACGCCTGTAATCCTAGCACTCTGGGAGGCCGAGGCGGGCGGATTGTTTGAGCTCAGGAGTTCAAGACCAGTCTGAGCAAGAGCGAGACCCAGTCTCTACTAAAAATAGAAAGAAATTAATCGGACAACTAAAAATATATAGAAAAAATTAGCCGGGAATGGTGGCGCATGCCTGTAGTCCCAGCTACTCGGGAGGCTAAGACAGAAGGATCACTTGAGCCCAGGAGTCTGAGGTTGTTGCTATGAGCTAGGATGACGGCACTCACTCTAGCCCGGACAACAGAGTGAGACTCTGTCTAATAAACATCAAGGAAAATAAAAAGTTTGGTTAAAACTATGCCCCACTGCTAAATTTGTCTGTCTCAAAAAAAAAAAAAAAAGAAAAAGAAAACTCTATGAATGAAATAAAAGTAGGAAAAACCTTTGTGAGAATTCACAGCTCAGCACAACTACTCTGCCTGCACGCGCCGAGCTCGGGGGCGGTGTGCAGCCGTGGAGGGTGGGGCAAGGCGATGAGCGCCTCGCTCGGCATGCCGGGAGATGTAGTTTCTGCGCGACCGTCAACCCGCTGTTCCCCGGGCTGCAGAACTGCTCTCCCAGCATGCGCCGGGCTCGGGGGCGGTGTGCAGCCCTAGAGAGAGGGGCACGGGCCTGCGCGCCTCTCCGCACATTCCGGAAGGTGCACGCTCTTACCCTCTCAGGCCCGCAGGACTACAATCCCTGGATTCGCCGGCCACAGGGGCTGTGCGCCGACCTGGAGGATGGGGCTCGGAGGTGCGCGACTCCCCTGGCATCCTGGGAGCTGTAGTCTCTGGTCCCTCCCAGCCCGGCGTTCACCGAGCTGCAGGATTACAATCCCAGCATGCACAGGGCGGAGGGGCAGGGAGGTGGGCGACTCGCCTGGCATCCTGGGAGTTGTAGTCTCTGGTCCCTCCCAGCCCGGTGTTCGCCGGTCTGCCCGACTGCAATCCCAGCATGCTCCGGGCCGGGGCGGTGCGCAGCTCTGGAGGGAGGACCAGGGAGGTGCGCCACTCGCCTGGCATCCTGGGAGCTGTAGTCTCTGGTCCCTCCCAGCCCGGTGTTCACCCAGCTGCAGGACTACAACCCCAGCATGCGCCGGGCAGAGGGGCAGGGAAGTGGGCGACTCGCCTGGCATTCTGGGAGCTGTGGTCTCTGGTCCCTACCAGCCCTGTGTTCGCCGGGCTGCGGGACTGCAATCCCAGCATGCGCCGGGCCGGGGCGGTGCGCAGCTCTGGAGGGAGGGACAGGGAGGTGCGCCACTCGCCTGGCATTCTGGGAGCTGTGGTCTCTGGTCCCTACCAGCCCGGTGTTCGCCGGGCCGCGGGACTGCAATCCCAGCATGCCCCGGGCGGAGGGGCAGGGAGGTGCGCGACCTGCCTGGCATTCTGGGAGCTGTGGTTTCTGGTCCCTCCCAGCCCGGTATTCGCCGGGCTGCGGGACTGCAATCCCAGCATGCGCCGGGCGGAGGGGCAGGGAAGTGGGCGACTCACCTGGCATTCTGGGAGCTGTGCTCTCTGGTCTGTACCCGCCCGGTGTTCGCCGGGCCGCGGGACTGCAATCCCAGCATGCGCCGGGCGGAGGGGCAGGGAGGTGGACGACTCGCCTGGCATTCTGGGAGCTGTGGTCTCTGGTCCCTCCCAGCCAGGTGTTCGCCGGGCCGCGGGACTGCAATCCCAGCATGCGCCGGACGGAGGGGCAGGGAGGTGGACAACTCGCCTGGCATTCTGGGAGCTGTGGTCTCTGGTCCCTCCTAGCCCGGTGTTCGCCGGGCTGCGGGACTGCAATCCCAGCATGCGCCGCGCCGGGGCGGTGCGCAGCTCTGGAGGGAGGACCAGAGAGGTGCGCCACTCGCCTGGCATCCTGGGAGCTGTAGTCTCTGGTCCCTCCCAGCCCGGTGTTCACCCAGCTGCAGGACTACAATCCCAGCATGCGCCGGGCGGAAGGGCAGGGAAGTGGGCGACTCACCTGGCATTCTGGGAGCTGTGCTCTCTGGTCCGTACCCGCCCGGTGTTCTCCGGGCCGCGGGACTGCAATCCCAGCAAGCGCCGAGCGGAGGGGCAAGGAGGTGCGCGACTCGCCTGGCATTCTGGGAGCTGTGGTCTCTGGTCCCTGCCAGCCCGGGGTTCGCCGGACTGCAGGACTACAATCCCAGCATGCGCCGGGCGGAGGGGCAGGGAAGTGCGCCACTCGCCTGGCATTCTGGGAGCTGTGGTGTCTGGTCCCTACCAGCCCGGTGTTCGCCGGGCTTCGGGACTGCAATCCCAGCATGCGCCGGGCGGAGGGGCAGGGATGTGGGCGACTCGCCTGGCATTCTGGGAGCTGTGGTCTCTGGTCCCTGCCAGCCCGGTGTTCGCCCGGCTGCAGGACTACAGTCCCAGCATGCGCCGGGCGGAGGGGCAGGGAGGTGGAAGACTCGCCTGGCATTCTGGGAGCTGTGGTCTCTGGTCCCTGCCAGCCCGGTGTTCGCCCGGCTGCAGGACTACAGTCCCAGCATGCGCCGGGCGGAGGGGCAGGGAGGTGCGCGTCCCGCCCTTTTCAAAGCGGGCTGGCTGCCGGCTCCTGCCGCCGTCGCCTGGGGCAGGCCCAGGCGGGAAGTGAGGAGGGTGAGAGGCTGCGAAGTGCACCTCGCATTTGCCTTTATCTGTTGGGTCTGCTCCTCGCTCCCCCTCCCGCCGTGAAGCTCGGTTTCCTGTCCCTCCCGTTTTCCTAAACCGCTGCGGGAACTGACTGATGCCCGAGACACTGTCCTTCGTGCTGCTGACCCTGCTCCCTCCAGCCAGAGCATCAGTTGGGCCGGTTTTAGAGAAATCCTGCCCCTGCCCTCCGTGAACAACTTCAGAGCTTTGCAGGGTGACACGGGCTGTGGCTTCACGGATATGTCGCCCTCACTGGCGCCTTTTTTGCTGATGTGGAAGTTGAGGCACGAGGGAGAGTAATTACTGGGTTACCCAGGATCTGCTAAGAGCAGTGGAGAAAACTCCAAGTCCCGGGCATGTGTCTGGTGGGCCATTTTCACCAACCCAGTAAAGTGGAGAAGCCTCCAAAAACCGACCTTAAGGTGATGATGGTTTAGGCATTTTTACAAGGGAAATCATAAGCGTCATCTCAAGCAAGGCCTGAGTGGCCAACGTCTTAAAGACACAGATGGTAACCTCATCCCTCAGAACAGTGTCCCAGCGTTGAGGAAGCGAGTTTTAAGGCATGGGGCACTTTCGGGACATTTGAAACCTGTCAGGTTTGACATCTCTGCCTTGAATGGACAGCTCATCACCCACAGCAGTGTTGGCAAAAATGGAGAAAAGAGAACATTTGCATACTGTTGGTGGGAATAAAAATTCATACAGCTATCATGGAAAGCAGTATATAGTTCCTTAAAAGTTACAGTGTCATTTTCCTATTAAAAATTTAAACGATGAAAACTACCTACCATATGATCTAGCAATCCTA